ATCAGTGGTCTTGCTTGGTAGTAGTCAAAGACTGGTGGTTTAATATACTGCGAGGTTACAAAGCCAGCCCTGCATGAGGCTGCTCAATCCATGCACACCCTGCCTGCTGCTGACTCTGTGCCCTCAGGGCTGCTGCTGAGGAGAGGGGCCATTGCAATATGGGGAGGGGACAAAAAGTGGGACTCTTTGGTGAGACCCATTTCATCAGATCTGTGTTTGCAGAACTACTTTGAAACACTTCTCTGGCTGCTCTGTGATCCTTGGACTCTGGCATCTTCCTGGCATTACAGGCACACTTCATGTGGCAGGCATGACACTTTCTGCCCTGCAGATCAGAGTTCAGTGTAGTTGTTTTCAGGTAGTTCTGCTTTGCTGTGCTGGTGCCGTCCAGCATCTTGGAACCAGGATTAAAACTCCAATCCTTATGGCTCAAACAAGATTTAGAGTTTCCTTCATTGTAGGCTCATCTTTTGTGCCTCAGTGTCTGGCTTGTGGTTGTGTGGCTCTGGGTGCTTTAAAGACTCAACAGCAAAGCCAGGGGCTCCATAGATGCCTTGGGAAGGTTTTCTTTGATCAATGTGATGAGACAACGGGAAGATGCTATTTTCAGCTCTACCAAAGAGTGTGCCTTGCAGAGCCTGTGGCTGGTTGACCTCCAGAGAGCAGTGGGAATGCTGTGCTTCATTAAGCTGGAGAAAACATTCTCATTAACATCTTCTTTGCTCACCAGAGAAGAGAAAATCTGAAATCTTGTGCTAGTACAAAATAAGAGAAAAATAAAAATACTCTGGCTCTAGAGCTTTAAATAGAGAAAAGTGAAATGTGAAAGAATTGCATGCACACTTTTTTCCTTAGTCATTCAGTGGAAGGTGGAGTAGTTAAGTCTGTGGCGCCTTTAAAATGATTCATTATTTCCATAGAAGCCAATTCATGTTTATCCTTCAAATTGCTCTGTAGACATTAAAATAATGGAGAATTATATTTGCTTTTAATTTTGTTTCCAGACAGCTTGGCCTGAACGTTTATGATGTGACTTGGAAACCATATCAAATTGTGATTTATAGTTACTCGTAATTGTGTGAAGATTGAAGATATGCTGGATGCCACTTTCCTTTGCTTTTTTTTTCTCCTCAGCTCCCCCTTTCTTTTGCTTACAGTGTTCTTGAGTGTAACATGGTGAAAGGCCAACATCTCTGCCTTCATTTCTTTTCCTTGTACAAGCCACAGCAAATGAAGATTTTATTTCTCCCTAACACAAGGCTGTGTGAAATGAATCGTGGTTTGTATTTGATAATTGGTTTGGGTTTTTTTTAGCTTTGTGTAAGTTTTGACTGGTTTTGTGTTGTCATGATAATCACCCTCTTTGTAGGGTGACTTTTTAGTTAAGCTGGATGAGAATCATATGCAAAACATGAATGGGGAGGGGTAAGGCTTTGCTTTGTGGTAAGGCATCTGTTAAGTGTATGGATGTCAAATCTGCTCCCCAGGTGAGCCAACACAAATAGTTCATCCCTAAATTTATTTATTGGGTCTTATGGCTCAAGGAATTTGTTATTCCTATTTTCCTAAATTCATTTTTCCTGCACAGTTTTATCTGCTTTTTCCTCCTACTGAGTAAAAAAGCTAGTCTTAAGAGTTTCGTGCATAATATAATTTAACAGAAGAAAACAAAGGGGATTTTGTGGATTGTAATAGAAAAGCCCAGTGAAGGTTATGCAAGTTTTGAGAACTTTTCTAGTCATGTTGCAGACTCCAAACAAATTATTCAAAACTAAAAATTCTAAATTATTATTAAAATTTTCCAGAATACTGTTTTAATATATGAATATAAGAGTGTTCCTTGCAATTGTTTCCTGCCCTGACAAAAATCATCAGTGTGATGCTGGGACATGCTGCTTTTGTGGTTTGGTCCTGCACATGCAGCAGTGTGTTTTCGGGCTTTTTTTGTTTGGTTGGTTGGTTTTTCTGTACATAAAAGGAAGCCTCAACACATGCAGCAAGTGCATTTGGGCTCACTTAGGAATTCCAGATGGCACTGTGGCCTAAACCAGCTGTTTTTCAGCATCATAAGGAATTATTTTTTCTTCTTATCTTAGTTAAAAATGAGCCTGTTTAGTTTTGCTTTTGTTCCCAGCCTGTTTGCTTTCTCATTCTCATGCCCCAGAGCATTTCAGTTTTAGTCACTGCATGACATTGCTGAAATCGGGGCGGGGATGAAGTCACAAAATGAACAGCAAGCCAGTCTTATCCAAAATTCATGGGAGGGAACTGCATTCACAATTATTGGCATAGATGAGCAAATGAACACTGACCATTGTGAAATTAAGTTCACCTTATCTTAGCTCCTCATTTTGTTTAGTTTTATCAAATTAATTGTTAGTTTTTGCAAACGTTGTTCATGCCAGTATTCCCGAATATCCGGCCTTGGAGCTTCAATGAGTAAAGTGGTTTGGAAAGAATCCAAATCAGTTCATGCAGAGGCTATGCACATTAGAAAACAACTTATAGAGGCTGAGCGTGGATTTTGTCTGCATTTTTACCCTAAGAGAAGACTCCCTGAATATATATCTGTATGCATGTGTGTCTGTGTGCATATATACAATACATATGCATATATGTGATTACATTAATCTCAAATTTTCAGCAGTTTACTCTCTTGCTTTCACATCATCACAGTGATTTACAATAAATTCCAGGTCTCCTTGCCCTTTAGGGAAACACTTTATCATCTACTTTTTGAATAATGGTCTGCAAAACATATGCAGTTCTCTACTGTTTTTTAGTAGAGACTCTGAAAAGTCAAATATTTTTAAATGTTCCCATGCATTAAATTTGTAATAATTTTTAGAAAAAAAATAATTTAAATAGCTATAATTTTGCCTAGTCAGCCTAGCTGAGATAGATGACCCTGAGATAGATGAACCATTCCTACTTCTTGACTCACATAACTCATCACAGCCTGGCATTTGATTGGGACAAATCTGCTGGGTCTCAGAGTCAAGGCAGGGGTCACCAGCACAGATGACAACACAGGGAGCTGGGGGCCCTGTGGCAGAAATGCACCATGGAGAAGGGCACTCCCTCTCCCCACTTGGTGCTAATCATGGAGAACAATGCTGGCTGCTTTGAAAAAGATCAGTACTGCTGTACAGAACCTCTGCTTACAGCCCACTGAGTCAGACTTGTTTACTTTATAGAAGTATTAATCTCTGCCTCTGATTGGTGCTCAACTACTCCAGGCTCCAGGCTTAATAGAATTTCAAGATGTAGATGACACAGTTTTGCTGAAAGTATGAGGCTTCTATCTCATTTTGAGTCATGTATTCTGCCTCACTCCCCTTTGGTCCGTTTGCCATGGCTGAGGTTAAGATAGATAATTAATTACTCCCATCCCAAGCCTTGTCCTTTAATTTAAGAATTTTCTTTAGCATCTGCCAGAATCTTCTGCATGCACTCCGGAAATATTAAGCAATGAAAGAGCCATTCAGGCATTAATTTTTTTCAGCAGGATGAAATAGCACTCCAGTGGATTAAGCAGTTTCTGGTTTATGGTATTTCATAGCATGGCAAAGAAATGTGGGAAGAGGCTTGTGAGAGGCTGGTGAGTGAGGATACCTATCTTCTGGTCCTGCAGCTTACTTCAGTCTTAGCAAGAAGCAGGACACGAAGAAGGGATCAGGGGAGTGAAACATCTCTTTGCCAAGGGCCTGATGTCCACATTATGCAACTGGGAAGACAGAAGGAAGAGGTTTAGCTATACTTGACTAATACATCACTTTCCTCAGAAATGCCTTTTTATTGCATGTAAAGCTTTTTCTGAGAACGAAGCAGTATCACGTTGTGTTATTCTGTTCTTTGTGTTTTGAGGTCCATGAATGCTGTCACTGATGAGTCATTCCTGGCTGGGGCTTTAATCACTCTCCTTCTCAGTCTGACCAATTCTCCATGTTCTTTGCTTGTCACTCCAAGTAACTTGTACATTCTTTTCACAGACATAACTTCCCCATTTAACAAACTATGTATTTTAGCTTTTTCTAAGAACTACATGAAAGCAAATTAGTACAAAATCTGCTGCAATGGTCTCTCTAGGAAACTGCATGTACACCTGCTAAGCCCCAAACAGTAACAGCAGGACTGAGCTTACGTGTCAGAGACACAACAAAGGGAAAATGGTCACTCTTGGAGTGCCTTGAAACAGCAGTTCCATGCAGAATTTATTATGGATTTCAGTGCACCAGTTAATGAGGCTGAAATGTCACTTCTGCATTGGAACTCCATATGCCTTCTACCTTTTTTGGTGTTTTACTTCTGTGTGCATCCAAGTCACACTATTCTTTATTAGAGCTTCAAGATCCTCAGATCTTTGAAATTTTACTGTTTAGCTGTCAATTCACAGACTTGAAAACTTTAAGGTTTAAAAAAATCCGCTTTTTACTCCATTTCAGTTTTGGTATAGCTGCCCAAAATACAATTGCTTGGAGAAGAATGTTGTTGCTATTATACCAGAATACAATAATTTATTTGCACAGAGATATTTTACAAATCTCAGTATATGCTTGGGATTAATTTCATTCATCTAGGCCTAAGCACTGAACATTAGTTGTTCTGGATTAGTTGTTCTGTAGTTAGTGCTTGGGCATCTCTGAGGAGAGTCTCCTCCCATCCCAAGCCATGTCTTCAAAAAATTGTTTGTGCAAATAGGCCCTGGCTATTGACCATGTCTCCACTGGGAGCCTGAACAATTTATTCAGAGGGGTTGAGTCAGCTGCAGATGGTGAAAGCTGTGAAATCAGATATGATGGAATTCCAAAGGCTTTGCAGACCGATGATTGATCTATTCAGCATTGTTCTCTGTATTTAAATAATTATTTTGTGTTGTTATTTTTCCACCTGCAGCTGCTTTAGCAGAAGCTGTGAAGAGAGTTCACCACAGCTTGAGGCAGTGCCCAGCAGGTTGTTCACTTCTGTTGTTTCACCTGTATCATTTCTCTCCTCCGTAGTCTTCTGGCACCAGCATCACGGTGGACATCGCTGTCATGGGAGAAGCACACGGGCTCATCACAGACCTCCTGGCCGATCCTTCACTGCCCCCCAACGTCTGCACGTCACTGAGAACAGTGAGCAACCTGCTCAACACACAGCTGACCTTCCAGGCCATCCACAAGCCAAGGGTGAATCCCTTGATGTCCTTCAGCGAGAACTACACCTGCTCTGACTCGGAGGAGTGTCCAGAGAAAGGAGAAAAACTTGCAATTCCCAAGGTGAGCGCTGGAGCCTGCCTCTCCCTAAAGGGATCTCATTGGGCTATCAGACATCACTGGGCTTTTTGTGTGAATTGCCATCTCTTCCTTCCCTTAATCAGAAGGGTGAAACTTACAGTACTCAATGAAAAAGTCTCTATTGATGACCTTCAAGTGCTTTGGATCAAGTCTAAACTGTTGTATACCCCACAAACTAACTAACAAAAATATCACAATCATTAGGATGACAAATACTGTGAGCTCATGGAAGTTGTCTTGAGAAGAAAAAGGCAGAACCATAAATAGATATATATAATACTGCCTTGAAAAATGGCTTTATGAATGCTCAGGGATCAGGTAGGAAATAACCAGTGTTAACCACCCACACTTTGCAAGTGAACAGCTAGAAAGAGCACATCAGGTTTGAAGCAGAGTGAATTGTAGGTTTGTTGCTAATTAGCTGTCCTGCATGGCTTACATTTCATTTCTGAAACTAAATCAAAATGCTTTTGTACTGCAGCCTCCCTTGTAAAATTAAATATAGGCAGAGTACATTATACAAGCAAGTGCTTTTATGTTTTTACAGTTTAAATGGCACTGCCAGTCGTTTATTCCAGCATTTCCAGGTATCTGAATTACGCTCATGATTCTTTTATTATAGTTTAGTGTGATGATAATTGCCACCCTATTTGTCTGTTTAGCAGCTGTATGTACGAAATGAATGTTCACAGGTTTTTAAGCACATTTTCCAGTTTATTTTTGTGACCATATCTATAATGGCTGTACCCTAGGCTCTGAGGGGAAGAGTTAAGTGGAAGAGCAGTGCTATCACATGAGCACACACAGGGAACAGATACTAGTTTGCTGTTGCATAATATGCTTTGAGAAGGAGAGAAATGAAGGATGAAGAAATGAGCTAATGCTACAGAGAAATAATTTGATTGAAGAATTCATTGACCTAAATGTATTATGGTTCATAAAATAAATAGTTTGCATGTCTTTACTTAAAGTGTCTAAAAGCAGATCTAGGACCTTCACCTTAAGCATCTGACACTGAGCATTTTGTGTAAGGAGATAATGTGTTAACATATTTATCTGCAACTCTGAGCTTCAGGACCACAGATGTCTTCCATCTCATATTTCAAAACCCTCTGGCAGAGTCCAAGCTCTCCATTGCAGATATATTTATTTTAGTTCCTAACTATAAACACTTCACGAGAACTTTACAAGAGAAACGGCTTACAAAATTATAGGATCTGCAACAGCAAGTCTGGCTCCAAAAAAGATCCTTTATTATCTTTGCCTTCAAAATTTTGAAAAAAACGTGTGAATCCTGTTAATTGGAGAAATGGAAGAGTCAGGTGAAAGAAAAACACAGGGTGATCAAGAAAAATCTGCTGTAAACAGTGATGCTTCCTCTAAGCTTTTTGAGACATCATATCCCAGAGCATGAAGGTTTTATTTCAGTGTTTAATCTTTGGGGATTGAGTTAGATATGGCAGGGAAAAAAGTTGGAGCTCCCCTGCCTTATTTTTCTTACAGCCTTTCTTGCCTTGAATCTCTTGATTCTGAGGATTCATAACAGTTTAAATTGGAGTAGTTGATGTTGAAAGTGCATCTGGAGATTGTCTAATCCAATCCTATCCCTGAGCTCATTGAGGAGAAAGTTTCTCTAGGCTCAGCCCAGACCAGATTGCTCGGGAGGATGTCCAGTTGGGTTTTGAGTATCTCCATGAATGTAGACTTCACAGCTTCTTCAGGCACCTTTTCTCTGTTCAATCCTCCTCATAGTAAAAAAAAGAAAAAATATTTTCCTACATTTTAATTAATTTCCTTGTACTTCAGTTCTTGCTCTGCTGCCTCCTGTCTTGTCACTGGGTACCCTTAGAAAGAGCTTCCTTCTTTACATCTTCCCTTTAGCTTTTTGTGTACTTTCGTGATCTTTTGTGTAGGATCTACCCTGAGACTTCTCTTGTTCAGACTGAGCAATTTCAGCTCCCTCAACCTTTCCTTTTATGACAGATGCTTCAGTCACCTTTATGGCCTTGCTAACTTGTTGAAGTACCCTTGGCCACATCAGGTGTTGCACATCTCTGGCTATTGGGCTGTATATTTATTTATTTATTTATTTATTTATTTATATAAACACACCTTCTTTTAAACTTGAGATAGGGAGGATGGTCCAGACCCTCCAAGCATTTAAAGCATTGGCTGTGTTTGAAATGAATAATCCCTGGGAGAACCCAGATTTAAAGGTATTGTCAGACAGAATGAAGCAAATGGAAATGGTTTATTTTGTGCATGTGTAGAGGTTCTGTAAGCCTGTACAAACTGTAAGGAACTGGTTTCTCCACAGCGCTTACGGAGAAGTTTGCCTCCAGGACTGCTGAGACGAGTATCCTCAACCTGGACCACAACCACGTCAGCCACAGGATTGCCCACTCTGGAGCCAGCTCCAGTGAGAAGGGACCGCAGTGCCAGCATCAAACCTCACGAGTCTTCTTCATCCAGGTTACAAATGACCTCCTCTCACTTTTATGTTTCTCTTCAAGCATATTTCTTTGGTTCTGTGTTCAAAATGCATTCAAAAATGCTGGCTGTGAACAGTGTTAGAATTACGTCTTAATTTTTTTCTAAATTGATTTGCCAAAGAAGCAGCGTTTCCCTTTCTTGTCAGATTATGCCAAAATTATTCATATTATTGGGTAGAAAAAGAAACTTTAAAAAATCTATTTATCCTAATGAATTGTAGAACTGCCAAATAAAATCAGAAGAAAGGCAAGATACTTGGTTAAAGTTTTCTTAGCATGCAGAGATTGCCCATGTGGTTATTGCCCAGCCAAGAAAAACTGCAGCAATTAACCCAGCCATTTTTAAGAACACACCTAATTATGTGGTTCTGTCATTAAACCAGTTCCTAAAGCACTTCTCCATCTCCCATTCTTCTCAGGGTCTGATCCCTGAGCTGGAGTCATGAAGCACATGGTCCTCCCATGAAATGGAGATAAAGAGTTGTGTCTGCTCAGCTGCCTATAGCCAGCAGGGAACTTGTTTGGGGGATTTTCAGAGGTTGTAATAAAAGTTGTAATAGCTCCACATCATGTCATTACAACAGGATTTCCTCCTTTCTGGCTCCATGGATACTTCTCTGTTCTAGTCAGAGCCTTCAAAGGAAGGTGGAGAGCTGCAAGTTGTCTTACAACCTTGGGAGAATAAAGTTCAGGTCCCCTCCCTACCTCAGCAAGGGCCATCATCTTGGAGCTGGTGGATGAAGAAAGAGTGTGGAGACACTGGGGAAAGGAGGATCAGAATGAAAGCACTGCATTCAAGAAGAGAATTCAGAGCTGTGACATCAGAAGAGTCATGTGCTTTCATAAAATTCAAAATTTGGTGCTGGTAGTGGGGAAAAAGGAACTTGGAAGGCCCAACATCACCAATGTTGGCTATTGGATAGATTGGGGGAATGCAGCCCCAAAGAGCAGCTTTTTTCCAAGGCTAACCTTTCCTCAGGTACCTAAATCTATCCCGTGGATGGGGCTGTCATACGGGGTGTGGAGGTGCTCAAGGCAGCCTGCAGAGGACCCTGAAAGTCTCATGCAAGAAAAAAACATGGTTTGCCAACGTTCCCTTTGTGAGAAGTCCCATCTGCCTCAGTAAAAGTAAATATAAGGAAGCTGTAACCAAATGCAGAGATTTTCACTCACAGACCTGTGGTTCCTGGGGTGCATTTGATTTATGCTGTTGATCCCACTCTCACGTAGTGTGTAAGTGTCCAAGATGGGAATCAGAGGGAGAGCAATTAAATATTATTGTTGGTCCTTTGCTGTGGTTGTTATATAATTCTGCATGAGGAGCCAGCTAAGCAGGCTATCAATTCTTCCTATGTTTAATGTCATAGCCAGTTGTGTAATTATAGCTCTGTCAAGCCTCCCAGCCTACTGTTTGCACTACTTCTTTCACAGTAGGAGAAGCAATGTGTATTCCAGAAAGGGGGAAAATGAATCCTATAAGTCTAGCTTTTAAAGTTTTGGCAGACCAAGAGAGATCTGCTTTCAAGGAGAGGAATTTTGAGCTGAAGAGAAAAAAACATATCTTGGTTATCTGCCACTTCCCCTGTACCAAATTCACTCCACTGGTCACATAGAAAGAAACATTTTATAAATTGAACAGTAGGAGAGAGGCTGACACAGGAATTGCCCTGTGGCAGATTCTGTAGTTGCAAAACATGCAACTTATTCCTCACAATGTGGGACATGACTTCTGGATTTCTGTAATCACATATTTGCAAAAATCCCCTGTAACTGTCAGTTTGAGATTAGTAATTCTGTGCTCTTCCAACCCCATGTCACTGAACTTGGGTAAACATTATACTGGAAAAATAATAGAACTTGCACATTCTTTCCCTCACCCACTTTTATATTAAGTGATTCTCCTGTAGGAACTGAAAGAATGTGGGTCAGAGATATTTGGTTTGGTTCATTGAGGTTATTTTGCTCCACAGTGGGCCAGCGTGTTATATTCCTCATGACAATTAAAAAACAAAGCAAAACCATTAATTAAAAAAAAAAAAAGCAAACCTGTATTCTTTCTTTGCCTCACTTCATCACAGATTTTAAGAATTTGGGCCCATGAAGACAACCAGCAATTTTTGTAGGTAGTACTTACTATTCCAAAACAAGATGCTTGCACAGGTAACACAGCGTCACATGCTTTTTTCTTTAAGAATGCTTTTTATTTTTTTCCTTTAAGTTTATTTTTTTTAAGCTCAGCTGGAGCTATGCTACTTTAAAAGTCTGTCTTCAGCATTGAGTGTATCCTCATCACCTGGATATGAGGCTGTGAGGAGAAATGTGTAGCCTGAGCTGCGTGGCAGACCCATCCAGAGAGCTCACAGGTCTTGATAAGAGCCAGTACTGAATCCCTGCAAGAAGCTGACATTTGATGGGTGTCATTCAGGAAAGTGATTATAAATACAGTTTTCTGGCTGTGCAGAACATTTTGGCCTATTCTGGCTAAAATCATAAACCCATGCTGCTGCAGGGGACTGACATCTGTTCCCCACACACAAGAACACGTGCACCCGGATTCCTCCAGCACAATTCTCTTGTACTGATATCTTCAGGGTCTGAGAGGGACATTTTTTTGGGGATGGAGCAGGCATTTCACTGGTTAGGGTATGAAGGGGCACACCACTAACCACAGCCATGCAGGATGCTTCCAGTCCTCCCCAGCCTCCTGAGGAGTTCCTCCAGTACCTGCTGTGGCACTAGCAGCAGAGGACTCTGGGTTTCCAGTTCTGCTGAGAACTTTTGTCACTTCTGGCTCTTTTAAGGAGCTGCTAAAAGATAACATCAACTTTTAACTTAAGTCAACTTTTGAGTCTCTTTGTGCTGTCAGAACAATATAATGAAGGTATCTTTGTATAAATAAGGCAAATAGGTCTCAGCACTGAGGGAAGTCCAGCTTTGGACTGTCTGCATTGTAAATATTTTTGCTGAAGGTGGTACTGAGTGCCTCACAAGCACCACTTTAGCCAACCCAGAGATGCTGTTTCCCTCAGATTTTGAGCTATCTCATTATCACCTACTTCTTGCTGCAGCTCCAAACTTCGCAAGATCTGCCACTGAGGCTTTTTCTCCTGTTGAATGTTGCTTGTTTGTGCTCTGGTTTGGCAGCTCTGACTCTTGGAACAGCTCCATTCTGATGACAATCACCAAGAGCAGGTCCTTCTCCACCTCCTACGCCGTGTCCTCTACCAACCACCTGAATGCCAAACGGCAGAGCCGGCAAGGTGAGTGGGCACCCCGAGCTCTGTCAGCCTGGGGCGATAAATCACACAAACTCTGTTTTCTACATGGTGGAAAAAGCCCATTCTTTATTCACATAACTCCCTTCTATACAGTTTTGCAGACCTCGTGTGGGACTCCCAATTGGTCAGTGGCTTTCTTGCCAATTAATTTATTGGTTATTCCAAGTTGTTATTCTGTATTGATTGGTGTACATGCAGGGAGAGTTGTTTGTGAGAGATAGTTTTCATTTTTCTACCTGATGGTTTAAAAACAGTTTGTACAGGTGCCAGTTGTTTTTCCACCCAGGAATAGATTGTTATGCTAAGGAACTGCTCACACCAGGACTGCTTTCACATGGCATCTTGCAAAGTGCTAGCCTGAAAGACCAGCCACTGATTCCAGGAGAGCAGGTTTGATTTTGTGAAGACTTTCTTTATGATTTCTCTACCTTACTGCAACACTTAACTGCTCCCCGTGACTAGCTGGTACATCTTTTGACTAGCTTTGACTAGCATTCTCATTACTAGGTTTTGTTCTCTGTCCAACCTGCTGCTTTTATTATTCTTCCATCAGTATAATATGGTTATTTCTTCTATTTAAGCAAAAAAAACCAAAAACAAAAACAAAAAAAAACCACAAAAAACAACCAAACAAAAAATAAACCCTGACACAGCTGCTTAACATACCATAGATTGTAGTCATGCCCTTTGTAAATGTTTTGACTCTTTTGATTTATATAAGTTAGCCATGATATGATGCAGCAAGTGAAATACTAATTTGTGATTTATATCTTTTATATCTTTTTTTATTCCCTTGGCTATAGCAGGATACTTTGCATACATTTGTGGCATTAGTTGTCTGTGCATATTCCTTGAGTGAGATTTCCTTAAGCACAACCTACAAGAATCCATTTTGAGCTGGAAGCAGAAACTGTATATTACCAAGCTCCATTGGTAATATACAATTATTATTAATTTTATAAGTTGATTTAGATAAATATATAAATATATTAATTTATAAAATGTGTCTTTAATTATGCATGAAAACATTCACATTTTAAAATGCTGCTAGTTCTACCTATTTTGAAAAAAAACTCAAGTGTTTTCATATGTAATTTTGCATCACATTGAAGTCACTGTTTTATATCTTCAACACTGCACATTTGCAGAAGTTCTGGAGGACCTGAGTGCATGGATGTACTTAAAAATTCTCTTTGTATTTTTGTTCTTTTGTCTTGATTGTGAAAAAATTCTTGCTGTAGCAAAACACACTTTTTTCTCACTTTTGCCAGTAAATGATTGAATGTTGGATTATTGAAAAAAGCTTTGCTTTTTTTCTGGTAATTTTATTTGTGGTTACCTTCCCTGGTAAATTACTTTCTAAAAACAAAAACACACACAACAAAAAATATTTCAAGAGACTGGATCCCTACTAGCAGTAGAAAGCTTGCTGTGATTAGAGACATTATTGGGAAAAGTGCTGTTTAAATTCTCAAGACTTGTTTCAAATTGTTAAAAGAAGACCATATGTATTGCATCCTCTAAGAGTTATGAACATGACTTGGTAACATATATCTCAAAGATAGATAATAATCCAGCTCTATCCCCTGTGCAACTAACAGACTGTGAAATGTTTTTAAAGACACATTTTTGTTGGATGGAAAGCTGATAGCTCAGTGAATTCATAAATGTGAAACAGAGGCTTCCTGTATTTTAAAGCCATTTCCCTGTGTCATGGCAATCTGATAACATTTTAATTGCTCTGAAGGCTGTAGTGTTCTGATGTCAAGGCTGGCATTATATCCTACTTGCAATCATTGAATTAAGACACTAGATACATACCACATTTGCTGAAGAAATACCCTTAATCAAAACAGAGATGCTGGATATCTCCAAATTACAGCACAGTAACTATCAGATTTTTTTTTTTTAAACTCTTGGATTTTCATCAGTAAATTATATTTTAACTTCTTATCACAGTAAGTTTCTATCAGGGAAAAAAACATTGGAACTGTATATGTATATCCTGCAAGGTTAATATTTCATAAAGTTAGATCAACCTATTGCCTTATTTTAAGATATTTTTTGTGTCTAGAATGCATTTAGATAGGGGGCAAAATTCAAACATAAAACTCCTTCAAGTTCCTATGGCCTTGCTGTCCTTTGGCTTTGAAGGTGAATGTGGTAAATTAACTGGGGCTGAGTTCCTACAAACTTCAGAACAGGAGGTAACTCAATTTGCATGCATTTCCTTTCAAGATAGATTAAGTTTGGTCCTCTGGACTTACTCTGAGTCTCATTTTGTCTGAGACTAGGAATTGTAAAGTGGATTGCAAGAGAAGGCAGCACTTTCTTTAAACGCTGAGTGCATTTCACCTTGGCAATGATGCTCAGGTGGAATAAGGGACAGAGAGAACTACATCTTGCTAGTGTTGCACATGTGGATATTGGCAATTTCTGTGCTCTAGCTCTGGTGTACACTACCATGTGCTGCAGAAATGATTGCAAGTCTCTCCCTCAGTGAGCAACAGATATTGAGAAATAAACTCAAGCTGAAGACCAAGGCCAAAATCTATGAGAAATGGTCCCAGAAGTGCAGTATTTTGTATAATGTATGGCTACTAAAAATTGCTCTTTTTGCTTTATTGCTAGTCTTCAAACATGTAGAAATCCAAATTTTCTGGGAATGTGTGTAAGCCTCCCTTGACCTGCTTTAGAGATGGTGAGAGAGAAACTGCAGATGGTTCTGAGAACTGCCTGTTTGGGGCTGTGTGTCTCTGTCACTAGCATATGTTGATACCAAAAGTCATGCCACAAGCTCCTCTTTCATTTCATGCCTGTCCACTTAGTGCATCCTGCTCACCAGGGAAAATATGCTTTGCATTTTGAGCCAGATCTTCAGCAGGTAAAAGTGGCTGATAGCAGTGGAAGTTCCTCACTCTGTGGCAGCCCTAGGCTTGGTTCAGAGTGGAGAAGGGTATTCTTTTATCTATTTTGGTTTTGGAGACTAGGCTGGTGCATCTCAAGAAGAGTATTTCTGCACAGTGAGCTAATACAGCCATCTGCCACTTCTGTTAATTGACAAGACTCCTCTTGTCCTTGGCCAGGTATCCCACCAAATATTTCACCTCTCACCTCCCCGTGCCATTCACCGATTCAGGGGACGCCTGCCACAAGTCCTACTGGAAAAACATCTTCTGTGTCATTTCCAGAGCCTACAGACACTGACACAAAGCAGGGCCTAAAGCCACACAAAGTCTTAACTTCTACTCAGAGTGCACCTAGCCTGTCAGACCCTATCATCAGCCCCTCCGTCATCTGCAGCAGGTAAGATGGTAAATTGACATGCCTTGCAATCATTTCACACTGTTCTCATGAACATTTTCTGTTGGCCTGCATACAAGTTTTTGTGATTTAGCAATTTCTATTGCTATTTCAGGTTTATAGTACTTCAGCAAATGGGTAGATCAATGCTACAAAACACTTTTAAATTTGGAGACTGTTGGCTATGTTTATTGCTATGTTTATTACTTTTACGCCTGTCAGGTGGACAGCCTGATTCATAAATAAATTCCTTATCAATAACCTGCAGATCCCAAAGCTGGATTTCATGCTTACAGCTTGTGTTTCTGGAGCCATGCCCTTGACATGAGCAGTCACCTTTAGGTCACAAGCCAAGGCTTGCACAGAAGGCACCTGATGTGGCACAGAAAAATCTGACAGCTAGGCCCTGAAGACTCTGTGATTTTGAGCCTTCACTCAGGAGGAGTGGGTCCTGTCTTCCCTAGGCAGAGTCAGATTAGATTCTGTGGGGATTTTTTTTTTCCAGAAATCAACTGCAGATGAGTTCTTTCTACTGCTCAGAGCTCCAGTAACACAGTTTACCTTTCTTACTTTAAAGTACCCCTTTATTAGGTAACACAGACCAGACCTGCTTTGCAAAAGTAGAATTTTGGAAAGAAAGTTGTTCTTCTTGTCTTCTCAGAAAGGATTCAGTTGCTAAATCCAATTACTGGAGTTTGCAGTATGTGTCCAGTTCAGAACAGTGGGAAACTGGTATTCCCAAGCCTATTCCAGTGCAACTTCAAGGTTGCTTTACACACCAGATGTTAATTTTGGCCACAGCACAAGTGACCAGCCAGCAGAGAACACTATCAAGTTTGACTATCTTTGGAAAGAATTTTTAGTTGTTGCCTTCAATCCCATGACTTTGGATGTGTCTCAGTGTGCTGTGTGCAAGGCTAGGAAGTGGCTGTGAGACAAGTCAAAATAGAGATTGCAAGTTTGCTCCAGGGAGTCATCCTCACTGGAGTTCAGAGTAGGATCCAAACAGGCTTTTGAGTTGGATTTAGATGACTAAATAGAAACTTAAGTGCTTTTAAGAGTTTTCCAAAGGAATAGCAGAATTGGGATTTGGAGAGATTAATTTGAAAGTAAAACTATATTACACAACAGGAATATAGCATTAAGGTGCTGCAGTCTTATTAGGTTGTGCCTTTTTTACCACTTCAACAAAATACTGTTATTTCACAAGTGGCATTCATTTCTGGAAGCCTTCAATTAAAATGAACATTTAAGAATTGATTGAAAATGTCGAAAAAGAATCAGTGTGAGGTTGTTGTAGATAGTAATGAAATTAATACCTTTTTCATCTTGTTTATCAACCTGACTGATAGAAGATTTATTTGCTTGGCTATGCATTACAGGTATTACTGAACACAGATTATTTCATTTTTGTTTGAAAATCTTTCAGGAACTCATGATGTTTGCAGGGCATACCAGACTCCAGGATATGTTTGGATGACCCAGTCAAAAGCTAGCTGGCACAGGAATTAAGCCATTTTTATATGTTGAACTTAAAATGATTCAAAGGTTCGAGTACAAAGTTTGACCAATCCAAATAACTCTGTAATACTTGCTTTGTGAAGATTGTTATATATAGGATATGCCACAAAATGCTGACTCAAGCCAGAGAAAATGTTGAAATGTCATGTTGTAAAGGTTTAAAGGGAACAAAAACACAAGGAATAAAGCTTTTTAATGGAAGTGCCAGCCATTTTAAAAGGTCATAATATTGTGATCCCTCCCAGAATATGTTTCTGTTCTGGAAATTATGAAGCAAAATTTGCCCTCTTGATTCTTATGTACTTGGTATACAGTCACTGAAGTAATGATAAAATATAATATTCCTCCTTTAGAGGAACATATTCAAATTTTAGGCAAGAAGAGTGAAGCCAGATCATTACTGTGCTCAAACTGAATTCTGTAAGATTGTATGGGACTCCAGCAGTTTCATAATTTTAATTCATCTTTATAGGGCATCTGTAGTATAGAACTATGGGATTTATTTTGTGTGTGTATGCTTAGGGAATAATAAAAAAAATAATTTAAAAAAATCACATGGTTCAGGTTTACTGTTGAAAACACAAATTTTATGGTGGTGGGCAGTTAATCCAAGTATTTTTGTCCCGAGTTGCAATAAAACTTTAGCACTCTCCTGTGATTTTGTCTGGAGAATATACCCTAGACTGTGACTTCTACTGTATGACATAATCTCACACTGCCAGTAGGAAATCCTTTTACACAAGACTGTCTAAGGCACATGGTTCTTCATATTGTGTGTGTTTCTTGATGTATTTCAGCTGTGGCAGACCCTACAACCAAATAGAAGCTGGCAATGGGACACTAAATAGAAATGATGCTACTACACACACCCTGAACAGAACAGGTAATTCTTTGTCAGAAACACCTCTTTCCCTCAAATTCAGTAATCATTCACTAAAAGGGCGGATGAGCTTTTCTGTCATAAAAGGAGAACACACACAGGTGAGTCCATACAAATTGTCTTTGACAATTTCATGTCCAAATGCTCTTTCCCTTTTTGTATGTACAGCATGTACAAAATGCTTATGGAGTTAAATTATAAAGGATATACTGTTCCCCTCAATTTACTTAAATAATGGTTTTCAAAACTGTTTCTCTCTTCATTCCCTGCTGCCATTTTTTACACTCTGCAGGGTATATCTTCAATGCCCTTGGACAGATTGTCCGACTTCGGAGCCAGCCAAGCAGCACATATGTATTATGAGTCAGAGCTCCTGTTGCTGTTATTCAGGTCACAGGATGACTTCCATGAAACCCTTGCTGTTCACACCACAGGCTTTGTGATTTGTGTTTGTAGATGATCCTGCTCAAGCCACTTCTGACTACGAGACCAACAACAGCGACAGCAGTGACATCGTGCAGAACGATGACGACACGGATTGCTCCAAGGAGCAGCCACGGAAGGGATCTGGCTGTAGGTCCTACACACCTGAGACCATCATCCTGCATCCCTTGACACCGCCTGAGGTAGCTCCTCTAAGTTCCCCCAGCACTAAAGAATGAGTGTATGCTGACACTGAGAGGGAAAAAATACACAAATCAAAACAAAAAACCCAGATCCCTGCAGAAAAAGTGTGGTCTAGGAGTGCTGCAAGGTTTTGTTGTCTTAAACAAAAAATGTTTCAGTGTGATGAGCAAATGATGATTGTCTCACAGCATTCAGCTGTGAGCTTGGTTGAGATGCAGAGGGAAAGCTTTGTTTAGTTAAGTTTTCCACAGTCTGTTGTACAACTGAATTAATAATCTGCAGTTGGCAGGAGCTCTTTAAAAATTGATTGTAATCTGCTGGAGTTGGACATGCTGAGAGAAGGCATTTTGCTTGAAACATTCTGGCATTTACTCATCTCCAGTTTCTAAGTGAAATAAAATTCCAGGGAGTATACTGGGAGAAATGTGAAATGGTTGCACAACCCATCTTTTATTTGCAGACCTTGAGAAACAGATAGGTTTCAGTTTAAGGACTACAAATCTTCACTTGGACTGAGCCCTGTTAGCCATGTTAGAGTCCAGTGAATGGGTCCTGATGCAGCAGCAGAAACTGAGAGCTTTTCTGTCTGTACCACAGTGAATTTCACAATGAAGGCAGCCTCCCTTGGAAATGAATGAATGATTCCCATGAGTGAATGAATGAGTGAGTCTCAGTGCAGACACTGCTGTTTCATAAACAGAATTTCCTATCCATTCAAGTGAAACACATTACAAAGGAGAGTGAGTAGCTGCAGGGCTGCAAGAAATGAGGACATCTGCACTGAGCTGAGTGAAGTACCACTGACTTACACATGATGCTAATGTGACTTTAGCTTTTAAGAGCATCAATTTTTGCTTGAGATGCTTCACTGAACTAACAATTCTCTTTTATTCTGATTTCTGGCACAGGACAAGCCTGTACTGGCTCCTGAGCCTCTGGTTATGGACAACTTGGATCCCCTGATGGAGCAGCTAAATAGCTGGAACTTCCCAATCTTTGATTTGGTGGAAAAAATTGGGAAGAAATGTGGTCGGATTCTCAGTCAGGTGAGAGGTGCACCTTGTCTGCAGTGTCTGGGTAGAATGTTGACAGATTTAGACACAGACATGTTAAAAGGCATTGTCCTTACAAGCTGATGATCCAATGAACTGTGATCCCTGATACCTAATTCAAAACTGACAGTATGAACTCTGCCTCATTTTATTCCTTACTTTTGAATGCCTTTATTTTTAATTTTAAAAATGTCAAAGAAAAAAGAAGAGAGCCTTCTGCTCTCTGCTTTTCTGAATATTCTCCTGAGATGCTTCAAGCCCTTACTGAGTTCTTTGGGAAAGGATTTCTCATGGGGTTTAGCATGGGAGGGCTAAGCAGTAATTATATTCAGTGGATGCAAGATATACAGAGTTTTGGTCCTCTTTTATACTGAAGATCAGTATAAGATCCCAGAAATAAAGGATTTCAGATTTCAGGCTGGGCAAGAAAGCAAGGTTTGAGGAAATGGGGGTAGAAAGAATCCTTGCTATATTCCCCAATTTTTAAAGAATCAGAACTTAGAGAGAAAATTCATATAATATTATGTAGGGAAGATTTGATATGAGTTGGGAGAGCTCACTAGTCTTTCTTTCAGCTCTCAGGTTTTTATTCCTTCCTGTGGGTGTAATTCAGTTACTGACACAGCCTGTGTCTAGCCAGCATGATTAGTGTCACCTTCCGTAATCACTTTCTTGGCTGAACCTTCTACTCTGTTATGCCCCTTTTCCTGGCACACTGACAAATTTGTAATTTCTTTTCTTATAAAAGCATTGAAGATTATTAAACAGGAAAAGCAAGTAATTATTTTTATTATTATTTAGGGATGAAATGGGGGGAAAGCCTGAGAGAATCAGACTGAACAAGGATCACTTTACAAGGCATTATGTAGTGATGAGTGCTGGAAAGAGGAGATAAAGTTAATTGGTACAATGTGGTACAATTATCACCCCCCCAAAAAAAACACAGAGGTTAGTGTGTCATGCAGATTTCAGTGTAACAAGCTTCAGAGAATGCTGGATCAAATCACAGTCCCTTGGTGGTTACCTATTATTCAGCTAGATTCAATTATCTGGTGGTCAACAAGGAAAATCATGGCATGAATTCACATTTATTCTGTGGTCTGTTTTTTAGTGTTCTGCAGCTTGGCAAGCAACGTCTGAGTTTGACCAGCCTGCCAAGTCTCCAGGTTCATTTCAGAGAAATAGGCAAACTGTGGATAATGGATATATTTATTGGATAAATTCAGTGGTGCTCATTGAGGCACTATTGCACTAGATAGTGAGTGTGGGATTGAGATGCTCTTCTAGATAATACTGTTCATTTTTCTAACAGCATAGAATGATAATAGAATGATGAATGAAACATAAGGAAGACCAGAACTTTCTTTTAATGGCATAAAGAGCAGTTTGGATGATCCAGAAGTTGTTCTGGTTTTACATGGGTCCCTCTGTAGGCTTTAAGCATTTCACCAAGCTGCATGGGGTCCTATACCTCTGGACACAAGTCCTCTGTGCTTCCCTCAAATTGCACTAAATCCCCTCACTCTACTTCCCAAAATCTGATTTTTGCACAGGTTTCCAACATGTTCACAGTTCCACAGAATGAGTCCTGAGAAATAAAATAGAGAAGCTTTAATATTTGTGACAAAAATTCATTTTCTGTAACAGCTGTTTATAATAACTCCCTCTCCCTAACAGCAGGTTCAGCCTTGTTCACAAAATAGAGATCCTTGTTACTCCCACCTACTCAGATGTTGCTAATGAAATTATTTTCAGAAATCAGGAAACTAAAGTATATAATTTTTTTCTCCAGCCAAAAGCACTATTTTTTTCTGGTTTGATTTTTAAATCCTAGTATATTATTAACAAAAGTAAACAAAAGCTCTAATGATGTATTCTCTGTATTTTGCTATTAAATGGACTAACCCATTAAAAAAAAAAAAGAGTCAATTAAAAATCTGAATTAACTATGTTTGCCATGCTAGGTTAAATTTATGAGCTGGAACAAAGCAAAGTTGACACATGCCTTCAGGGAAGCACTCAGTTTAGAAGGCAAATGCTGGCTTAGCATCTTTGAAGCTGCTTGAGATATCTGTTCCTTCTTTGTGGAATGTTAAATTGATTTAGACATATAAAAAGACCCCAAACCAGTCAGGAGCCATGAAAGCATCTGTGCAAACTGGAGTGGCAAGCCCAGTCAATGTGGCAGTGACAAATGTGCATGACAGGGTTCAGAGAAGAGCATGAATTCAGTCTCTTTTCACAAACCAAGAGCCAAGCTCTCAGACCTGAGCTGTTGCTTCATACGAGGCCATAAAATTCAACAATATCTTCAGTCACACTTAACACTTTTCATACAGCTCCTGTAAAACTAAAACCTGTGGTTTGGCTTTTCTTGCTGGGCCCAGAGAGAGAAGTGGGGGTGCTCCTCTGCTGGCAGTGTCAGAGACAGGGTGGCATCACTGCAGGACTCTGAGATGTCCCTGCAGGATGACAGGAGGATTATTTGGCCCTCTCATCATCACACATGGGAGATGGGATATTCCTGGGATCATCCCAGTAGCCTTGAGAGGAGTTTGTCAGAGGCAGAGACTGGGTAGCAGCAAATTCCAGGGAACACAGGTCTGAAGGAAGCAAGGGCTGTGAGAGGGCTGCCTGCAGCCAGTGAGAAGGGAGCTACAAATCCAAATTTCACATGTGTCCTCCAAGGAGATCCATTGCTGTGTGCCTGCAGGTGAGGGGCTGGGTGTGAGTAACAACCCAGGTGCAGAAGTACTTGTCCTTGGTCAGGCAGCGCCACTAAAGTCTCTGAGTTAAAAAATATTCATTCAAGCATTAGCTGTGCTCTGAGGCAGGACAGGGAGGCTGGAGGACAGAGGCAGTGTGGTGAAACCCTCTGCCAAGCCCCTGGCAGGAGGGGACACATCTCAGCACAAGTGCTCAGCCCATAGGATTCCAACTCCCAGGGAGCTCCTGAAACAGCATGTGGGCTGGGAAGAAAATATTTTGATAGACAGGAGCCATTAAAGTGTTTAATCAAGAGCAAGGAGTTAAAAAAGCTGCACAGTTACTGTTTCTGGGTTTTGTAGTTTGTTCTTTTTTAATTAAAGAATTTGACTAGTTGACTTTTGGGAAGATATCAATGCTCTTTCTTCCTCCTTCTAGCATAATTTTACACCTGCTTCCTCCCTCTTTGCTGAGAGAGAGAGAAAGTGGAGGGAGGAAGGAAGAAAAGAAACAAAGGAAGGAGAAAGAAAGAAAGAAAAAAGAGAGAGGAAGAAAAGAGAGAAAGAGAGCAAGAGAAGGAAAAAAGAGAGAAAAAAAGAGAGAAAGAAAAGAGAGAGAGAAAGAGAGGGGAAAAGAGAGAAAGAAAGAATTTTTTTTTTTAAAGAATTATTAAAAAGGCCAAGTTAATTGCTTGGCTGTTTGTTATCTAGTGACCCCAAAGAATAATGCCATTTTACTTCAAGTCAAAGGGAAAAGCTGTAATTCCTACACATCACAGTCAACTTTGCTTCTTTTCAACTATGGAATTTCCCAGCCCCCAAAATCCAAGGGGAGAAAAAACATGCTTTTATGAGATGCTTTATTTAAGATACCTGTCCAGTTATGCTAGTGTAGACAAGTAAGATTTGGTCCTGCTGAACATTATTTCATTATGATTCCTCTTTTTATACAGAGATGCTTTGCTGGAAATAAGTGGCTTACATTCCACTGACCTAACACTAGGATTTAAGACTCACCTGTCTGTTGGTAAAATATTGGATCCCAGCTGATACAGTTAAGCCATGATTCTAGAGAGATAAACAGGGTTATATGCAGATTCTAATCCTAATTATGCATAAGGTCACTCTATTCACTCTGCCTAAACACAGGGGGATCCCCTGGGGTTTTCAGAGTGTCTTTTACAGGCTCTACCTTTTATTCTAAGCTCTTGTCTTCCAGAGCACAGTAGTTCAGGTATGGTAGGAAGAGAAGTGAGAGCTGGCACCCCCAGCAGAATCCCCCTGTCAGATTTTGGTCACTAGAGGGTCATTCTGGATGGGGTCAGACCCCACACTCCACCTGCCTCTGCACCATCACTGCTTTGTTAGTTCACAGGCAGGTGTTTCCTGGTAGGGAATGACCATGAGGGGAGGCAGGAGGAAGATCATTAAGGCTGAAAATTCATTTCCTTTCTTTTTTTATTCTTGCCCTAAAAATCCAGAATGGCAGGACATTTGCTGTTGATGTTCATTCAACTTTAGGTGCAGCTCATAGGTCCCAATTTACATACAAAATATACAGACACAAGCAGGTATGGATAGATGTTTGATTTATACTCAGATGTAAAACACAAAGTGTAATTTGTGACCATTTCTTGCCCTGGAGCACACATCAGTCCAAATGTTCTTCAAGTTGCTTAGCTCTAAGCAGGTCATTACCAGGCAGATGGCATCAAAAGGACAGAATTTAGCTAACAGCAGTAAATAAATAAAAATTCTGCAAGGCTTTGGGGTCCAATTTGCGACAGATGTGAAAAGATCAGGCAGTGATTTTACTCTGTCCCATTATTTTGTATGTCAAGTTCAAACTTGTCTTCAGAAGTGCCCATTTTGTGTCAGCTGCTGCCTTCATTTCTGAGCACCCTCCTCACTCATCCATGGCATTCTCTTTGACATACATCCTCTCCTGGACGCTTACAGTCACCTTTGGTGCAGGAATGCTTAGAGCAGATCTGCCTCCTAAGCTATTTGCTGCCCCTGATATCCTGTTGGAGTCATTTTTATCATTTCACTTCCAAAATTGGAGAGAAAGCAAGGACACAATGCATAGGAGCCACATGGTTCCCCCTTCTGTCAGTCCTTTGCTTTTTCTTCCTTTTCTGGGAATTGATTTGAGTCAAGGATTTGGGAAAATACTACAGGAAATCAGATTTTCACAGGGTAATTAAACCTAAGGAGTTTTATATCTAATTTGTAGAGTGTTTCTCATCTACTTAGCAGCATGAGTTTTTTTGTTGTTTTTTTCTTTCAGGTATCATACAGGCTTTTTGATGACATGGGGCTGTTTGAAACCTTTAAAATACCAGTGAGGGAATTTATGAACTACTTTCATGCCTTGGAGTGTGGATACCGAGAGATACCTTGTAAGTAAAAATTCCTGGCACATAATGATGCTTCCTTTAAGTTTTGGGGATTTTGTATTGAAGCTTTTCTTCTTGCATTATAAAGCTACTTTTTTTTTTTTTCTTCCATTACGCCATGACCCAATGGATGGCTAGGCAGAGGCTGGTGCTGAACCACAGCCTGTCATCTTTTTTTCTTTGTATTTCATCTTTTATATTGTTTCATAATTCATGGCAAAATTTGCCAGAAATCATATAAAGCTATTATAAGTAAAGACTGTTTCCTGATAATGCAAGAGTATCCCAGTGCTCCAGTTGGAGGTTTTTGAAATATTTGACCCCCTAAAAGCAACTTGGACTTTTACACAGTAGCAGTGCTATGCTACCAAAGGGGAGATGAACTTTATAAGCAGAAAAAATATGCCCAAAACATGAGTGAAGCCTGTTCAGTTACTACAGCTTAGCTGATATTTTTCAGTGGGAAACATTTATTTCCTGAAAAGCCTGTTTTCAGTCATCCCCAAAGTATCTGCTAATTCAAATAAAGTTTATCAAAGTACCTCAGCTGCCAAAGATTCTTGTTTTGAGGAAAGAGGAAGGAGTTATCACCCACTTCAGGTGGCAGATAAACCCAGCACTGAAGAACACAGAACACCCTGTTTTCCCTACACTCACAGAAAAATGTGGGAAACAACATAAGTCATGTATTCTCTCTGTGTCAAATATTAAATACCAATTGGAGCAGCTACATTGGGAGGGATTTAAGGAAAGCTACCTCACAATGCCTTCAGCCAGGTGGTTTTGAGTTTGTTCTGGGGAAGTGAGAGACCCAGTTTTGATCCTTTCCCTGTGTTTGAACTGGGCCAGGAATCTAAAGCAGCAGATCACAGCTTGAGGAGGTTAGAGGTGGAAGTCCCACAGCCTCTTCTGCTGAAGCCATTCCTTTCTATTTGAAACATTTAACTATTCATAGAGTCTCTGGGATTTTTGTGAACCTAGACTATATTTCCTTGTTTTTTTCTTAAGTGTTTTTTTGTTTTACTAAAGAAGAATCTCTTTCTAATACAAGATGAAGTTATCTTCCTTCTTTTTATTTCTGTGAAAAAGGTAAAACCAGGTCTGATGCTCGTGATATAATATTGGTTTTGTCTCTGCTAGACTGCCTGCCACACGGTACCCACTAGATGGTGCTGATAGCCTTCTCTCAGAAATCTCCTGATATTTTATAGCTGGATGGTTTTCTTCCCATCACAGATCACAACCGAATCCATGCCACTGATGTTCTACACGCCGTGTGGTACCTCACAACCCAGCCCATCCCTGGACTCCCAACTGTGATCAATGACCACGGCTCAGCAAGTGACTCAGGTATATTTAAGTGCTGTCATCCTAAAGTTTCTCTCATGAAATTTGCTGTCAGAAAGGCAACAAGTTGGGGATTGTATGCAGAATTTTTTTGCAGTGTGTAATATGGTGTTCAAGTTCAGTAGGACAATGGATGTTGAAAGTTGTTCAGGTGTGTTTGTGTAACTTTGAAGGGAACTAAATTGTTCCTCTGAAACCTAATACTTAACATTTAATGATCTGTAAATGCAAGCCTTTGTGGTCACTTTTAGTGACAGATGTTTCTTACCATTTGATTTTTGCAAAAGGTTTTTTCCTAGGAAAACTGTATTATTAGTGCTTTGCAGTGCTGTACCAAAGGCAGTGTAGCCTTAAATCCTTATTCTACAATTTCTGGGGCATGCAGGCAGTGCTGTGTACTTGCTACTGCTTGGCTCTCATGAAATGTTCTTTGCTTTTCCTCACTATCTCCAAATAAAAAGACTTGTTGCCATCTGGCAATTGCTTTACAAGACCACTCTTCTGTTTTATGATTGCTCATTACAGGAAGCTGTTCTTGCATTTTTATATTAATTTATCAGTGTTCAGCTGCGGCAACTAGAGGGACCTATCTGTGTTTTGTGGGAGTGCTCAGAGAGTTCATGGAAAAGCAGGAGTTTGTTCCATTTATGCTTTTTTCTTTTTTTTTTTTTTTCTTGTTTTTTTTTTGTGTGTGGTGTTAAATGGTTTTATTCCTGGAAACTTTTATTAGCAAGGTGTTACAGTGGATTTGTAGATGAGGTGGAATGAAAGGGGTTGAGCTCTGGGGCTTTTTGATGTTTGTTATTTGAAAGACATTGTTCAGCTGCATGCAAGATCCATTCAAAGTCGTTCAGATTAAATTAGCAAAGCATCTCAGTATCTGTCTCTGTTAGGTATGCTTAAGATGCTTCAAAAAAGGGATGATAAGAGTATTTTCAGTAAAGATACAAAGTCTAGGCATTTGTATTGGAAAACACACACTGTAATTTTAAATTATTAAATTCTAGTCTATTGCTTTAAGGACTATTAGTGTCTCACGGACTTGTCTACATGATGAAAAAGATTAGAGAAAGGACTGGTAAGATCAAGTTTTCCCACAAAACTCCAGCATGGATGTGAATCCATGTCTTACTGCTTTAACTTACATAGTTGGAGAATAGGCTTTGCTGGAGGGATGGAAGATCCCCAGGTGGGATCAGTATTTGTTCCTTTCCAATTGTTTGCCTTATTGTACTGGATCATAGGCACAGCAAGCACTGATGTCAGGCTGCATTTATTCTTACTGTGAATTTGCTCCTTCTCTTCCTGCTTTATTTCTTCTCTTACAGTAGGTCACTAAAAAAGTGTCACTGGATTTTTCACTGTTTTCATTTCTTTATATCTACTCAGATTCTGACAGTGGAATCACTCATGGCCATATGGGATATGTCTTTTCAAAGACATACACACCTACAGATGACAGCTACGGATGCCTGGCTGGCAACATCCCTGCCCTGGAGCTGATGGCTCTTTATGTAGCTGCAGCCATGCATGATTATGATCACCCAGGAAGGACCAATGCCTTCTTGGTAGCAACGAGTGCTCCTCAGGTAAATAAATCTCAGGCAGTGTTGCCGTACAGTTTGGAAGGTCTCGATGACAGCTTTTCCTTGCTAGTGGTGCCTGTGGCTTCCATTAAGCACAAAGTCTGCCAAATATTTTGAAACAGCTTTGTCAAAGTGACAGAAATAATCACTTCACTTGGGGATTGCTGGAAGGAGTCTTCTTACACACCCTCAGTTAGCAGAGCTGCTGAGAAAGGTACTGATAAACTGTGTTAGTGAAGAAGGTAAAGCTCTGCTGACTGATAGAGGACCTGTAACTGTGGAAGAATGGAAGAATTATTCTACCAAGTAATGCACAGAAAGATGCAATAAAATAAAACATCCCATTTGTGTAGTTGAGTATGCTTTGCAAGTTTATAATGCGTGGTCATAACACATTTTCTGTTGCTTCTATAGAATATGAGCAGTTTCAGTCTTTTTAATAAAGTGTTTGGAGGCAGGAAGGGGAAAATAATCTCAGTGTTATAAATGTAGAATTGAGGCTTGCCTAAGGTTACACACAAGTTGCTGCCACTCCTGAGAGTTGAATTCAGCAATTCAGAGTGACTCTTTATTGGCTTAATTATGAGGTCATCTTGCCTTGTTTTACATAGCTAACCTGCCTGGCTTCAGCACACTGTGCTGAAAAATATTTCTATTGATAAGGAAATTTAAAAAAATGCATCCTAATGATGGCAGATCAAGTAGGGATGCAGAAATTCTAGATTTACTCCCTAGCTTACAACCAAACTTCCTCTGTCACCAAGAGCAAGTTGCCTGAACTTGCTCTGGTGTCACTTTTTGTCTATGAATGGATAGAAATGCTTCTCACCCTTGCAATGTATTTCTGTGATCAAAAGCTTTGATACTCTGGCCAGGTATCTAGATTGGGAGAAGACAGGTGCTATCTTTTAAATCTAATTTTAAGAAACAAGTGCTATAGCTCTGTGCTTGTAAAAAACAGAAACGGAAGTTAGAAGATTAGCCTTTATGTACTGACTCTAGTTTGAAAATAAATTAATAGGAATTTTGTTGTTGTTGTTATTTTCTGAATGGAATTACCATCACTACGAGAGTTCAGTATCTTATTTTGGTAAAGATTTGACCCATTTTGATTTTTAGCCCTGAGATATCTGTCAGGCTGAGTACACGTTTTCAGGTTGCAAACTGCAATTTCTGCAAACTGTTTCTGTGTTTGGAATCAGTCCTACATGGACACAACTGCCTGGTGCAATGACCAAAGAGCAATAGTTCATTAAGTGAAGTTCATTCTGGCCATCAGGGAAGCACACACCTCTGTTATATTAGCCATCAACCTATGGCCCGAAACAGGATGATCCATTGCTGTGATGGTTTTGCCAAGACAGTTTTGTGTAGATGGTTTTGTGTAGATGGTTTTGCTAGGATGATTTTTGCCAAGATGGTTTTGTCAGGATGATTTTTCCAAGACGGTTTTGCGTAGATGATTTTGGGTAGATGGTTTTGCTGAGATAGTTTTGCCAAGATGGTTTTGTCAGGATGATTTTTGCTGAGATGGATTTGCCAGGATGATTTTTGCCAGGATAATTTTGCCAAGATGGTTTTCTCGAGATGGTTTTGCTGAGATGATTTTGCTAAGACGGTTTTGCCAAGATGTTCCTCAGCTGCCCCACGTTGCTTCCGCAGGCGGTGCTGTACAACGACCGCTCCGTGCTGGAGAACCACCATGCTGCTGCTGCCTGGAACCTCTTCATGTCCAGGCCAGAGTACAACTTCCTGGTCAACCTGGACCACGTGGAGTTCAAGCATTTCCGCTTCCTCGTCATCGAGGCCATTCTGGCTACTGACCTGAAGAAGCACTTTGATTTCGTTGCCAAGTTCAACGCCAAGGTGAGATCAGTTTGGGTTTCTGGGGGACAGGCAGAAAATATTGTGGTCCTTGCTTGTAGCATCCAACAAAAGAGAGTTTCTATTTCCTCTGAATGTCCTTTTGGCTGCTGTAAAATGTTGAATAATAATCTGAACTTTCTATTGGGTTTTTACTCATTTAAAGTTAGTGACACAGTGAAACACAGTGGCACATATTTACTTTTTTTTTTTCCAGAAAGTAGTTTAAGGCTAAAAATTCCACAAACTGTTTTTTACATTCTACTTTTCAAGATTGCTTTCTTGTTCATCTCCACTTAAGACCTATTAGAAAAGCACTCAGGGGAAAAATCAAAGCTGTTATTACCCAGTTTCCATAATGGCTACTTTAAGTGAATTTTTACTGATTTAGTCATACTGTTGAATTATGAAAGCAGAAATCAGAGCAGTTTTGACATTCTGTTTTCAAATGCAGTAAAAGTATGGTCTTCCTTTCCTTTCTCTTTCCAGAGAAAGGTCACTAAACCTCTTTCCTGCATGCTCCATTCAGTGAGCCATAAAATCACAACCCTGAGAAACCATTCTTAAAAACTGTTTACATTTCAACCTAACTTATTGGAAATCACCTCCTATTAAGATATTTTAATAAACTCCATCACCCATCAAAGCTTTTGGCCTGTTAACTAGATACCTGCCTTTGGAGCTGGTACTGCTTTCTTGTTCCTTGTGAGAAACCCCCAAAAACAGTGTGTTTCGTATCTAGGACCTCCTAGCTGTTTTGGTGGCATGGATAAAATGTTTTTTATCCATGTGGTATTACTTAGGATGGATCTGTATGCTGACAATTTGAAGCCTCCACGCGTATGACTGGTTTTGTTTTCCATTTCCCTGTAACATCTCTCTTTGTCAGGCTTTAAGAAGTTGTGGAGAAAGGCCCTAGATGTGGTCCAGCTAGAAAGAGAACTGATCTGTAGATCCATAAAATTCTGAGCTCATTCTGCACTCCTGCTAGTCATGTCCCCTCCAACTTTAACCTTTCTGCTTTTATTTTAGCGCAGCTGACAGTATGTATCACTTTTTCTTGTGAGAGGTATGGAAAAAATAGAGAAAAGGAAAAAGAGAGGAAATAGTTTCAGCCATGCTTAGATCAAACAGGGAAATAAGCTTATTACACACATCTTCATGCTGCAATCAAGCCATCATGATATTTTACAGTAATTTGTATTTATGCATCAGTAGGTATCAACTTCTTGAAAAATGTCATGGAAAGATTGCATTTGTTTGTTTTCCTAGTAAATGCTTTCGAACAGGTGCATCATGTGCACTTCTAATATATAATAATATATTATATTATGTATTATATTATGTATTATGTTATAGTATGTTATATATATATTATATATATTATATATTGTATATTATATTATTTATATATTATGTATTCTATTATGTTATGTTAATTATATATATTATATATATTGAATGTTCTATATAGTATATATAATATATATTCTTTATAGAATATATTATTATTCATTATATGTAGTATATATATATATATATACACTATATATAGAATATATAATAATGAGATTGACTTCTCATTATTCATCACAGTGTTCCTTGGTCTTCACTTATTTTTCCCTTTCCATACTGATAATTCCAGCCTGGGGTTAGCTTACCTGCTTATGCTAGTGATTTTGTGAAATAGCTAAATATCTTGTGCAATACCCCAGGTCAGATCTTCCTCTTTAGCCTGGGATGACCGTCTTGGTTTCCCTTTCCCTGCCTCCCAGGTGAACGATGATGTTGGAATTGACTGGACCAACGAGAACGACCGCTTGCTGGTTTGTCAGATGTGCATCAAACTGGCCGACATCAACGGGCCTGCCAAATGCAAGGACTTGCACCTGCAGTGGACAGAAGGCATCGTCAATGAGTTTTATGAACAGGTAAAGGCATTCCAAAGCTGCCTGCCTGGTGTTCTGGAGCATGACAGTGCTGGTGGCCACTGAAGAATCACAGAGATAGAGGCAAAGAGGATGGCTAGAGACACATTAATCCATTTTTTTCCTGGAGCAGTGAAAGTCCTTTTTTCACTGAAGTTTCTGGCATGTCCTCAGAAACTTCTGGTGATGGTGTTTCTGCAGGCTGAACTGTTCAAGGCTGGCTCTGTGGACAAGCACTGGCATGGTGAACAAGTGTTCCTTTCTGTTTTTTTTTTTTTTCCCAGTTGTCAGTCATCATGTCTGTCATTTCTCTCTTCTTTAGCACAAACCAGGTTTTAATCCTCCTTCTGTGTTCTTTCAGGACATCAGCTAGTTCTTATGGCTCTCCTCTACAGTCTCACACTTTTATTGACATGTAGTCTCCAAACGTGGACACAACACCATTGTTCATATGGTCTAAAAAGAGCAGTAGGATTGTTTCAGCTTCTCTGCAGATCACACCTCTGTTCCAGAAGCTTTATGTGCTGAGCAGGACTGCAGCACTGACTTTCAGTTCATCACAGGCCAACCACAGCTGCTCCCTGACCCATATTTCAATTTTAAGACAGCCCTTGCAGCTCTCAGAGGTTGGTCAGTACAACTGCATTAATTATGCAGGGCCATGCTGGTGGCACAAGTAAGGAGGACAGGCACAGATGGGTTTAGAAAGCCCTGAGAATGCAGCCAGGCACTGTTCCTCTCTTTCTAGGTGTAAGGGAGCCCTTAATTGAACCTAATTTTCTTATTTTAACCTATTTAGTCCTGCTGAGTGCAAGGATCAGGGCTGTTCCTACACAGTTCCTGTTTCTTGAGTGGGAACATTTTGAATGTTCTGGTCAGATTAAATTCCACATCCTTTCTTTTCCAGAAGCAAGCAGGCTAAATCACTGAACAAAACAACCCACAGGCTTCTCAGGCAGGCTCTGCAGTAATTTGGACTCGCAAACTAATCACTTCTAAAGCTTTTTCAGCTTCCCTTAAATTTACTGCACTCACAGATTGGGGAAAAAATATCCAACCAGGATTTGCTGCTACCTTCTGGAGTATGTAAAGAGACAGGGAAAGGGACATAATTCAGGCATTGACTTGAAGCTTCTTCGTTTCTTTCAAATCTCCCAAGAAAAAAAGGAAGTAAAATGAACCGTACCTATAGTATGAATATAGCTAGTTCCATCTTTGTTTTCATTTTTTTTCTTAAACAAAGAGAGGATGTCCCAAAACAACCTTCATGCCCCAAATTTTCTTTCAGGGAATGCTTTTCTCCTTCATTAGAACTCTTCCAACAAACTGTACTTGACAGTTCTACTGATGATCATAGCTTATGTGGATGTCTAGTGCATGCAGACAGAAGCAGTTCATCAGATGTAGAATATGGCTTTGCTTTTTTCCAATAAAAGTTATATCAGACCCAATATATTCATCTCAGCAAAGCCTTGGAGAGTGAATCAGGCTTGTGAGGATACACATGTGGGAAGAGATTGTGTTATCTGTTCCACAGTATGAACCTGTGTTATTTTCCATCATTCAGAAATGGGATCCAGATAAGAGAACATTCTCTTTCTTGGGCTTGCTTTTAGCATTAAGGAGGATAAGTTAGATTCTCAGTTTCTTTTGTCTCTATTAAAAGCTGTTTTTCTTTAATGTAATATGCTACAAGAGGTGTATCAAACCATGCTTACCATGCTTTTGAGCATTAGATTTTTTCTGTGACTGGAAAAGTATTCATATTCTCATTTCTAAAAAAGAGAATTTTATGGGAAGTTTGTATTTCCCTGGACGTATTATCAAAAAGCACACATATGTGAAGTCAGCCTATGCAGTGAAAATCATTAAATATCTTTGTTCCAATAAACACCAATTCCTTTCAAGAATTTCACTCCCATAAAAATAAAAACTGCTTATTAAAAATGTGTTGTTTCAAAATCCTGTGTCATATTGTTGCAGGATGTTTTCTTCTCTTAACATGTCCAGCATAATTATTTGAAGACAGAATAGACATATTAGAATAAAAAAAAAACACACTGCAAAATGTTTCACATAATAAATCATGTTTTAACAGAACAATAAAAAAAATTTGTAAACACTTCAACAGTTAACATTTCTCCCAGTTCACAGCTAGGACATCTCAGATATGTTTCTGTAAAGAAAAGCAAGCTGTCACCTCTTCTTAATTTGCTTGCTATTTCAAGAATGTATGGCATTTTTCAGTGTTTTATCAACACAAATATTTTGTTTTTTAATGATTGCACATAACATTTCAGGGTTGATTATTATAAAACTAGCAAACAAAACACAAGGAAATGAGATATTTGCTGTACAGACTCCAAAATTTAGCTCTCATTTTTTGGCCTTCAGCAAATACAGATACAGGCAGGGTGTTGGTCAGCTGTGAAGACCATTACTTTTGAAAAAAATTACATTATGAGGAGATAAATATAAGCAAACATAATGAAAACTGAAAATACATCTCCAAATTCTAACATATATCCCATAATATAGAACTCTGTACTGTATTACAGTGTTCAATTACATATCAGGCTTGATTAGGGAGGCTGGATATTCTTTGGGAGGGAGATGGCATCTGGTCCTGTCATGTCTGCTCAGCTGAAAGCTCACTGATATCACCAGAAGCTTTACTGTGATCAGGAATTGAGTATATCAGATTTGGCTCTGCAGTGAAGTTTTACTTTATTTTACATCATGAGAAGAGAGGAAAAAAAAATCTCATCTTATGCTTCCCTCTCTCCCCTGAGAAAGCTTCATAGGAAAGATTTACTGGTTTTGAGCAAATGAATGTCATATATTGCTTTAATTGAGATCATTCTAATAGTCACAGGAAACATATATTTATGACCCAAAGCCAAAAGGACATCTCCAGGTTACTTTTAATTAGGATGAAATCAATAACAAAACTAGTCTGGTGAGACAGCCCTGTCTTGTAGAAGTTGTCTTATTCCCTGTAAACAAGGTTGTTGTGAACTAGCAATCACAAAGAAATGAAATAACAATTTTCAAGTTTTCACACAGTGCAAAGTTCAGGGCTAGGGGCATAGTTCTGCAGGATCATTGTTAAATTCTACCTTGTTAAATTCAGGTTATTGCTAGTGGGTTTGTGTCAGCTCCTACGAGCAAAGAGCTGTAACTGTGCCCATCTGACACAATGGCACTGTGACAATGATCTAAGAGCCAGGCTGGCATTTAGATGTTGTCCTTTCAGCATTTTTAATTGGCTGGATATGCTTTACTCCTTTTTGTGGCATGGTTTTGTTTCATTTAGCTCAGAGAAATTACGGCTGTTTTTTCCTCTCCAGGGTGATGAAGAGGCCAGCCTGGGCCTGCCCATCAGCCCTTTCATGGACCGCTCTGCTCCCCAGCTGGCACACCTCCAGGAATCCTTCATCACTCACATCGTGGGACCACTCTGTAACTCCTATGATTCAGCAGGGCTGATGCCAGGAAAATGGATAGAAGAGAGTGACGAGTCAGGAGACACTGATGAGCAAGAAGAGGAGGAAACAGCAGAAATGGAAACTTGTGAAAATGCCGAATCCAGTAAGTGGTTGACACTTCCATTTTCCATCAAATCAAGTTCTGTGTTGTGACTAAGCAGAGAGAGGCTGTGAGTTGGCCAGGTTCAGCATGGGCCTCCTCCAGAGTGACAGTGAGTCCTTGATGTCCTTTGGTGTCCTTGGCGAGGCTGTAGCCACTTACATTGTGAATGGAGATGCTCCATGGTTTCAGCACAATAAGTGTGGTTCATATCTACCACTTATTTCTGCCTTAGTTGGGGTTTCTGGTGGTAGATCGCCTGTACATGAGGGCTTTCTAGACTCTTTCAGGACTGGTGTTGATAAGACTGTAGGAATTTCAGTTGAAAAAGGGATGTTTGGGAGAAGATTTTTCAAGGAAAACACTCAGCATTTCCATGAGTTAACATGACAAACAAGAATAATAGAATGAGGATCTGAAATGCTGATGCAGTAAAGGAGTTTTTAATGATGAAATCATTTTACTGCAAATCTCTTCAAGGTAACATGGAGAAGAGTCGAAAGAGAATTGGCACTGAGCATTGCTGTGTTGTGTGCTGGGAGCTGCATCACTTGGCTAACCAGTAACCAAAGCTCATATTCTTCTGCCTCTCCTCTAGAAAGGCAACACTGACAATATTTGCTGTATTGAGTTGAAAATTTTTTACCTTGAAAGGAGATTTTAGCCACTTGTGGAAGTGATTTTTAAGAGAAAACACTGCAGGTGTAGACCTCTTTGTTTTATCATTTTAATCTTGCATTACCTTTTTCTTTCTTTTAGGTTCTTTCTCCCTCTGAATTTTCTACTACTGTTCCTTTATTTCCCTCCTCTGAGTTATCTTTCTCTCTGTCCCCTGTATCCAGAAGTTTTAGGAAACAGCAGTCAAAAGTGCACTCACGAAATACCAATACTTTTTCACTCAACAGCCTCACTTTTTCTGTTCTTTCCCACATATGTTCTTTCATGCCCTGCCTGGGTATCACCCCTGTTTTCTGTTGGGAAAGCTGACAAAGATTTGATGAGTGCAGTAAGTCACTTATGGATGTGGAACTAAAATTTATGTCTCTTGATGTGCAGAATTAACCTTTTATCTCTAGTAAGATTCAGAGGTAAACAGTTTGTATTTTAGAAGTAATTGCTATTTTTCACACACACACACACGCACACACACTCTTGCACATATTTTAGGTTTGGCACGTTCACATGCACAAAAAAGTCTTGTAGAGAATGGTAAACATCAAATAATGTAACACACAAGGGTTAATCTGATCCTTATGATCTCCTTATGATCTATCAGTTCTGTAACAGGCAGAGCCACATGTTTGTGGCAGATTGGCCTTTATGGAAATGCCTGCTAGGAGGAAATGTATGGAACTGGTGATTAACCCAAAGCCTGAAACTGATACTGCTGTGTTAACAAAAAAATATGAATTATGTTCTCATATATCCATGATGTCTGTAACCTTACTCTGAAATCCTTGGTTCCCTTTCATTTAGTATCTCTATTCACTTATCTTATGTATCAGCATTAGTGGAGTCAAATAATGCTGTTTTCAGGTTAAAAGCACTGATCATTATTAACCTTTTTCACATTGCAAACAGACTGATTTTAGTGGTCTTCTGTTTTCTTTTTTACCCTGTTCTAGTACCTTAATAGTACTAGACCTGGTGTTTTTACTATGGTTTGAAAACTGTGGTTTTCAAAGCTTTAAAAATTAATGTATCAGAAGTTTTGAAATATTCAAATATTCAATGAAACAATAAAAGGCTGAGATATCAGATGCACAGACATTAAGACTGGTATACATGTTGATAAAGATGTTTTGATGACAACGCCTTTGAGGCAGATAGAAATATAATTGTGGCAGAAAACACTTCATCTAGGTCCTGATAATTCACGGAAACAGTTGAGATCAATTTAAGGCTATAACCTTGAAGTAGCTTTAAATAATTTTTTTTTTACTATACAGGAGCGCGTACTTTCCCTGAAAGTCTTATGCAAGTATAAGAAGTAAACAGACTCAGTCTTTAGTGATTCAGACACATTTGAACACCACAGCAAGTGTCTGCAGAGAGCAGCAAGATGTGGGGTCGCCTGGGAAACCCAGGAGAGAATGTCCTGCTGTAGCATTGGCAGCTTAGGGGCTTCTTATTAGTGCTAAACCTGAAGGTTTCCTACAGGGAACCAAGGGTTTTCTAATGAAGGATTGAATTGGATTTGGTCTGTGCTCAGTGAAAAGCTCTTTGTTTCCAGTTCAAAAGCTTCAAGAGCTAAACATTTTGGATCCTGACACAGACATACTTTAGGCAACCTGCAAATACTAATCCACGCAAATTTATTTGGTGCAAAATATTCCTCTACGTCACCTTCTTTAAAGAGAAATCAGCAGTTGTCTTTGGAGGGGTTATTATTTCAGTTCTGTCATGGCCATTGTCACTGCTAATGACCAGAAAAATTTTTCAAACTTTGTATTGCTAAGGAGTTAAGAATCTGTGTTGGACAGGGTATATTGACAGGGAAAAAACACCCTTCAGACAGCAAAACACTTGTAGTGTCAGCTGTGTCAGGAGCCGTGAGAACCACCAGGGACAAAACCACTTTATAGGCTGAGAGCAGGGCCCTGATGCTTCAAAACCGAAGAGAAGCAAGTTCTCTGTGATAGTATTTGGCTGTATGAGTGCTTCTTTAGTGCTCAGGCTGGTGCCAGAGCAATGTTGTGCTTAAGCTTTAAGGTCATCTCCACCACGATGGTGGAGTGATGGGTGACTTTGAAAATGCAACATAGGAAAACAAAAATCAGGATTTTTTTTTCCAAGGACAAGCACAGTGCACAGAATTGAAAGTGTGATGATCAGAGTCTTTAAGAACTTGATGTAAAATGAGCAGAAACAGCTCAGCAATGTGTTTTATGCATAATCACTCAAAGGCTAGATAGCTCTGTAAGCAACTGAGTCAGGCACAACATGCAGCCTTGGGATACAATGAAGCTGGGGATAAAACTGTGCAGGAAACCAGTTTGCTTTCCCCAGAATCTGGAGAGGCACAGCTTCCTGAATTTTAACACTGTTCAAATGTTGGGGTTTAAAAATCTGTCATAGCACACTCTGTCTGCTTCCGGTGCCTTCAGTTGCTTTTCCTTCTCCAGTAGAAACCAGTACGCTAATGTCACATGGTGTTTTACAGGAAAGAAGAAGTTCAAGAGGAGGAAAATCTACTGCCAGATCACTCAGCACCTGCTTCAGAACCACAAGATGTGGCAGAAAGTGATTGAGGATGAGGAGAGGTTAGCCGGGTCAGAGAAGCAAGGTACAGAGCAATCCCCACTGCACCAATCTTCAGAACAAATCCAGGCCATCAGGGAGGAGGAGGAGGAGAAAGGGAAGTCCAAGAAGGATGAAGAGGAGAACACAACTGTAGAACCAAACCAATGACAATATTTACAGCAGTATTTTAAGACAGATTGACTCGTGCACAGACTCTTTCTCAAGCCAGCACAGCATTTAGACACAACACTGTAGAAGTATGGGATAATGCACCTACAGCTGTTTAATTTGTTTCTCTTTCCTTTTTATGGTGAGGTACATTGTTTAAACTCCTATGCTCAAGGAAGCTTTCACACTGCAACACCGGCTTTACAGACTTTCTTTGAAGAGATTTGGGGGTGGGTGGAATTATATAAATATATATATATATATAGCCAGGGTTATTGGCTGCACACTTCAGCAAAATACATTTAATGATATATTATGGTCACTGTGATATTTACAGGAGAAAGTTATCTGAGCAAATGCTGCTTCTGAAGCACATTTGCAGTTAACAGTAAGGTACCAGTTAAGTAGCTTTTTGCTCTTAATGCTGAGGGATAAAAGTTCCAAAGCTTTATATGAATGCTGATATATCCTGCCAACACATATGTGTGAGTGAGGGGGTGTTTGCAAGTGTGAGTGGATGTGATGAAATACAGCATGGTCTGAGTTCTTACCACACTAGCTGTAGCACACGTCCCAGCACACCACAACAAACAGAAGGCCAGAATTGTAAAGAATTCGTGCCTGCAAGGGAACAATTTTGGGGAGCTTTGCTTTCCCATAGCCCTCCACTCCCAGTTGCACTCCAGCTGCGGGCAGCCTCCATCCAGCAGCAGCCCAGGCGCTGCTCTGTTCCCTACCCAGCTGTGCTGGCATCACCTCTTCCTCCTCCTCCTCGGCAGCCCCTGGACTGCTGGCAAAGGGGATGTGCCAGGAGGGCTGTTTGCAAAGGGGGAATGCATGGCACAGCAATCCGTGCCCCTGGAGGAGGCTGGCCCTGCCTGTACCTGTGCAAGGTGAGCGGCGGTGCAGGGCCGCGCGTGCGTTTGGGCAGGAGAACGTGGGGGCACACCGTCCTCTTCTGCCCTCACCCCTGCCTCTGGGTGGCCAAATGTGTCATTTGAGTACAAAGCTAAACTGCTGGGAGACAAAGGAAAGGAGTGTGAGGGCCAGGGCATTCCCCAGAAGAAGGCAAAGGATGCCTCAGGAGCTGCAGGGGACAGTCCTGCGTGGGCTGGGCACTCGGTGTCCCAGGATCTGCTCACCTGGCTTTTCAGTGTGAGGTGCTGCATGGGAGCAGTTTGTTGCTGGCATTCTGCTTAGGAGCAGCATGTTTGATCCCACCCATATATTTTTCCTTCTTTCTTCTTTTTTTTATTTTTTTTAACCGAAAGAAAAAGATCGGGCTTGTAAGAACAGCAGATCTTTTTTGTTGTTGTTCTGTTCATTTGTTTTCTCTGTTGTTTATGCTGTGAGCCAAATGTCTATTTAAAAGGTTGGATATTCACTTTCAATATTTTATTTCACAATATATTTGTCAATTATTAGCAATCTAGATGTAAATATGGAAAAATTTTTATGGGTTCCTGTAGATAATGATATCTTTAAAAAAAAAAAAAAAAAAAAAAAAAAAAAAAAAAAAAAAAATTAAAAAAAAAAAAAAAAAAAAGAAAAAGAAAAAAAGGGAAAAGTTGTTTTGTAAAGATAATTTTTTAAAAAATAAATACAAAAACATTTTTATACAGTGTAGCCATTTCCAAACCCCACAAAGTCTTGAGTAATCTGTATGGACCCTTCTGGGAAGCCAGGGGTCTACAGGATCAAGGCTTTAAAATATTAATGCTCTTGGGGACTGGCAGCACCAAACAATACCCCACAACTTAGAGAATTGTTCCCACAGAAAGTTATATATATAAACTTCAGTATCTCTCAGAACTCCTTCAATTATGTATGCTTTTTCTACTTTGATTCTGCAGCCCATTACCATGAAGAGGTTTGCTTGTAAGAATAAGATTCCTTGTGAAAGGCAGAGTTTGTAAAAGTCCTTTCTGTGTTGAATTTCTGACATTGCACCCATCACTTTTTGCTATTGTTACACATTCACCACATTTCATCAACCTGTTGACATTTCCCCACAATGTTGGAAAACATTCTCTATAAAAGCCAATCACAGGTGTGTTATCACTTCAGAGCTCCCTCTTGCTTTGCATTTCTGTCAGAATGAGGTTTTGCTCAGAAGAGGATTTGGGGTTTTTGCTGATTGCATTTTCCTGATATTGTCCTGTGCTCCTCTTGCCAGTAGAAAATATATTTGCCTTTCCAGCAGAGTGACTGGCCAGGTTCTGAATGTTCTAATTAGCAGGAATATTTAGGAAATGTTTTCCAGTGAAATCAGGAATGCAATGATCCAAATCACACTGCTATTTTAAAGGGAAAGGACACAGCAGAATTCATTCAAAAGAAAAAAGATGTCTCCAAGATCTTAACAAGTCTCCACCAATTCCAGCTTGCATTGTTTTCATATCTCTTCAGTCACTCTGATCATTTTATTTGGGCTTTTCTTGGTATGCATACCTTTTGGTATGAGAAGGTTTTATTATGCCTCATTCTATAATTTAAAAATTACATTTACAGAGATGCTTTAAAATGTCACATCTCCAAGCACTTCTTTCTCAATTTTCAGTGCATAATCACTGCAATTGGATTTTAATATTGGGGTTTATATTGATTTTGCTGAAAGAGGAAAGAAATTCTATTGCAGCAAGTGTTAGTGGGTACCCAGTTGGTAAAATTATGAAAAAGCATTCAAGAATGAAGCAAAATCCTGTAAGCAGAGTTTCAAATATGCCTCTAAAATGGCACACATAAGGGTTGAGAAAAACTAAGAGTAACTAAGAAAAGTTATCTAAAAATGTGCTGAAATGAAAGCATTATATTTTTCTAGTCATCCTTTTTGATTGCCATTAAGTAAAATTAGTGTCAGCTTCTAATTTGTTTTTCTGCATTGCCAAGGCAGCTGTTAGAAATTGATACACCATTGCTACCCCAGCCTGTTTATGGGAACAGTCATTGAACTGGACCTTTATGGTGAAGAAATTGCTGACGGACTTCAAATGAGAATGATTGTTGTTTTTATTCAAACTAGAAAGAAATTCCAGTGAAGAAACTGAAGTGGCTGTGAGTGCTCAGCTTGGTAAGAGGTGACTTTTCTTCCCACTTCAAATAGTTAGTAATCCAATTTCTGCAGGTGGTCCCTCCTTATGAATCTGATTCTCAGTCTTTGAAGTACCTGTTTGGCAGGCAATGATCAGGAGATCTCCAGGTTGGCTTAGATATAACACAAAAGAAATTACCAGAGAGATTTTATGTCAAGAATGTGAAAAACTTCTTTTTTTGTGTGTGTGCTTTGGGGTTCATAGATAATGAAGCAGGTAGTTTAGAGGGCTTTATAATATTTTCCAGTCCAAAGGAGGCAAAACTTTTCACCTGCAGTTACATCAGCCTTTTGGAAGCAGAAGGTTTTCCACTTTGTGTAGTCCTTTGGTGTTGCAAGCACCAAATAATTCACAGCCTAAGAAATATTTTAGGAAGAAAAAACAAATAAAGTAAAATTAATTGTGTTCAATCAGCAGAATCCTCTTGTTTTAGTTGGGATGTTTACAATGTTGATATATATTTCTGGTGCATACCATATGTAATGCAGTGTGGTAGACACTAAAGAAAGCAACCCCCATTTTAAACAGTGTTTTGCAGTGTCAAACCTAAAGTACTTCAGTTTTCTGTTCTTTAAAAACAAGGGGAGAAAGACTAGATTATTTTTTTTCCATTTGGATGTTTTGTTTTCCCCACTTTAATGGCACTTGGTGTCTGATCCTGTTCCCTTCTAGTCTAGAAGTTTTCCTGAAATACTTTTGCAGTCCTTGCAGCTCCCAGTGCAGTGGACAAAAGGACTCTGTGTGTCAGATAGCAATCACATGTAAACACTTTTGTCCCTATATTGGCACTTTTGTTGATAACTAATAGTGTTTACCATGGAATATAACTTTTCTCCTTACACTTGCGTTGCAGAGGAAACACATGGAAGTAGAGAAGTGTGAAAGCCCCAAACAATTTAATTACATTTTCTTTTAGGGGGAGTGTAAGACATTAGCTTCTAAAGAAACTAAAAACGCTGTGTCTAAAATAGTTTCAAATTTTCAAAAGGCCATAGTTTACTATGCTCTATATTTATGCTCTAATTCTAAAATCTTGGTTTGTTTTTAGCTAATGTGCAGAGCAGTTTGACACTTGTCTCTGAAAATCATCTACTCCCTCCAGTAGGAAGATGGTGTTTGATGAGATGTTGCAAGCTGTGCATCAGAAGTGAGTTGCAACAATCTATGGAAAAGGGATTTTACTATGCTTTTGGCAGGATTTTGGATGGCCTCCATCTGTGAATGAAATCTTTTACACAGAGCTGTGTCCCCAAAGCCCTCCCCATGACATCATGCAGGGTGCTGGTTCTCATAGCAAACGTGGTCATATTATGGCAGGAAATGGTTCCCAGGGAAGATGTAATTTGAGAAGGCTTTTGTTAATAATTCAAGGCTAGTTTTTATCAGTTTTTATTCAACATCACATGTGAACTTCTCTTTGCATCATCATCTGCCTAAAGATGGATTTAGGTCTTTACCATTAGTGTACCACTGTCAGAATTTCTTAAGATCCTGGTGGTCTGAATCTGGAAGAAAATTAAGGCTACAGAGGTTCAAATAGATGCTTTTAAAGGTACCATTTGGCATCTAAGCAAATTTCCCTCCCAAGTCCCATTCTCTGCATTCCATGCTGGACATAAAGTTCATTTGTTTCCTTTAAAAATTCTAAATTTCTGTCACAACCTGAGCCTAGCTGGACTTGGAATCCTAGAGGATTTGGTCAGCTTTCAAAATGAACCCTAAGCATTTTTGAGAGCTTAGCCATGAGTCTAATGCAGCACCAGCTTTGTGGTTGGTGCTGGTTGTTAATGAAGTACTCGTGCAAAGTCCATGCAAGTCCTCCCACAGCTGAGATGTTCCAGCATCTCATGGGAGGAAGGAAGGGTTCAGTTTAAGGATGAGAAGTTGCTGAGCATCCCAGGGCCTCATGGGTAGAAGATTAGACAGAAGCACATTGCCAGAGTGAAGGATACACCTCTCTGCAGGCACTAAGGGCTGCCTGCTCTGCCCAGCCTCAGCCCTGGACGTTGGCACTAGAACTTGGGAATTCCTCAGCTGGCAGCTCAGAGCTGGGGTAATGGGTCCTCGAGTTGATGGGGTTGTACACAGGCAGGAAGGAAGTGAAACCTGCATTTTGTGGGAAGGAGGAAGGGAAATCATAGTCCATTATCAAATAGATTTTATAAAACAAAATTTCTTTTCCTTTTCTTTCAAAAGAATAGGGTATCTGGGAAATTAATTTATGTTTGATGTTGCAATATTAGTCAAAATGATAGCAGTGTTAAAGAGAAGATAATTATTCCCATTAATTAAAGCAGGAGAGTCTTCTTTTTTTCCTGTTTTTCAGTGAATCAACAAGTAAGAACGTCCAGGGATCTTGAAGAACAATGCATGTTAAGTGATTTGGAACAGATGAAAGAATAATAGAAATTAGGTGACAGCTGTCTTAAAAAACATTGGAAGAGCTTGCAATATTACTGACTATTGAAGTTAAACTTTGATTTAGACCAAAATAGCACCAGTACTTTTGAGAGCAATTTAATGTGATAGATCTTTCTTTGAATTTAATCAATTTCTTTTAGCAAAACAACATTTCTCTGCAGGTAAATTCAAAGCAGGGTTTAGCTCCTGCTGTTGTAGATATTGATTCCCAGTGTTGGAGGGAGCAGTGTGAGAATTATTCTCCATTTACAACCTAATTATGATTTATTCAGAAGCCATTAGTGGGATTTTCCTGACAGGCAGGTGTTTTTTTTGATGAAAAATGCATCTCCCCACCTCAGCAAGATGCAGATGTCACCTGAGGTGAGCACCTACCTGAGCTCCTCCGGAGCCTGGGGGCAGAACAGTGCTGGTGTATTTCTGGAGAGTTCCATCTTCACAGTGACAAAAGGCAAGAGCTCGAGCTAGTTAACAACACTTCTCTGATAAAAGTGAAACAGTAAGCATTGTGCAGTCTGAAACCCTGCCAGTGTCACCGAGGTGTGTGATAAGCATTCAAACACACTCAGACATTCCCCTGGGTGCTTTGCTCCTGTGAAACTGCTGGTGAGTTCAGGTAAAGCCAGCTGGCCTTGGGTGTGGTCTGTCAAGCTGAAGGGTGTAGTAAAAAATAATTTTTGACTGAAGTTGTTTAATTCCTCTTGTCAAGGAAAGCTTTGCTTGGTGCAAGAGGAGGGAAAAAAAAAAAAAAAAAAAACAAATATTTCATTTGAGCTTTTCAGGTCGCCAGTCTGTGCCAGTGGTTTCTTGATTCCAAAGCTGTGTGTGCAGTATGTCTGAGATGTGGGAATGGGGCAGCAGAGGAGAATTGTTCTGCCCTGGATGCCATAGGGAGTCTCTGTGCTCTGGGGAGCACCACTGAAACCTGCAGGTGTGAAAAGAGCAGTGAATTAGCTGGGAAAACCCA